GCATGGGCCTTAATCTTGTGCTGCTACATTGCACCAAAAATGAGAAGCAAGCGGATATTTATAAGTAAGAGATGTTCATTGATAACAGAAGCAAGCGCTTGTACAGAATTAGAAAAGTCGTCAGATATAAACCGTCCACTATCGAATACGAGCTCATGCAGATCAACGACGCTCGTGCGCATGTCAGAACTTGAGGAATTTTGTGACCAAGTAAAATGCTTTGTTGATTTTGCAGGCGATATCCAGTCAGACTTAATAGCTTCAACTTTAGCTCCGAAGTCGAGGGAGAAAGTGCCTCTCTTTTTGGCCATTTTGTATACGATGTTTCCATGTCCGTGCATGTCGCAGTTACAGACTTATCATCACATTTGGCGGTAACTTTGAAAAAATCGATATAATGTGTTTTTGGATACCCTTGATGTCATTTAATCTCAGTTGTGCTGTAAAGTCCGCAAGAATTCGGGATCATGGTAAAATTACGAATCTTTCTTGAGAGGCAACTTGCATACCTTAACCAAGATAACACTGCTCCATTCCGATGACGTTACCGACGGATGGTGCAGTGGAATGAAGCCACCATACCGGTCACACGGTCGCTTCAAGACCAAATCCCACGTACCCTCTGCTTCCGAAAAAACAGGTGCACGTCGGGTGCAGACCACACACCACAAGTGACGACGGCCTCCACAAAATGTAATGTTTTCTGCCAATGAAATGATTAGCCTGTTGCAGTTGTATTCTATCAGTTGTCACTAATTACAACTATCATTTACCACTATCAGCTATCACTATGAACCAGATTTACTTGGAGGCCGTCGTCACTTGTGGTGCATGGTCTGCATTCGACGCGGATCTGGTTTTCGGAAACAGAGTATAGGTTGATCAAGATGTCCCTCCATTGAAGTCCAGTAAAACGATGATAGATGTATTTGAAGGTTAAAACCGACCAAGTAGGTCATCGTATGTTACCCAGAAGCCATTGTTATTACAAGGGCGAGACCAGATCTTTTAAGAAAATGGAAAGCGTGGCGCAAACCGAAGCGTCTTCAGCGCCAAACCCCTTCGTCATTTTACTGATGTTATCCATCTGTACCAAGCTTCGGTTATGTGCCCTGAGAACCCATTTAATCTCGAATTCATTGGAAATATGCAGATCAATAAATATAAAAGGAAAAGGGAAATTCTTCAAGAATAAGGACTTCAAAGCGATCTCGAAACGCTTTGCTGGTCTTTATGTTTACTGAGCCTGCAGAAAAACTGCACTTGTGCGAGTCAAAGGTTGGCTAACGGCGTGATGACTGGTAGTCGTTCTTCGAAACTGCTAATGTGGCCTCGATTCAGGCCTCAGCGATTTTCTCTGTCCCTCTCTAACTGCCGGAAAATAGTCAAACCAAACATTTCATGGTATTTGTTCAAGTGTTCGCACACATAAACGCGCAGGGAAATGCCCATAATGGGATTTTCGTGATCTTTGAACGCAGTGATTAGACCAGCGCGCGGTACCTCGGTCTGGGTCGATATCGGGAACATAAGATATGAAGCAGCTTGAGCAATAGGTACCTTTCAAGAAGGATAGCTCGTACCAGCCATTTATACTCAGTTTCCGCGGTCGGGCATGTCGCAATTGCGGGCTCAACAATACATTTGGCGACATCTTTGAAAAATCATTAGCATATTGCTTTTTGAGACCATCTGGTGCCATGCGTTGCTATGTCTGCATCTACGACAAGCTCGCTCAAAGGGAACAAAGCTTACCTATTTCTGCGCAAAATGGTTTTATTGAAAACATCTTGTCAAGACAAACGGGCTAAGAGCGCCAAGCTGATGCTTACGTCCTAACCCATTTGGCAGAACTCAACGCAACCCATGACTCCGACCGTAACTTCGTAACGAAAATCATGGAAGGAGATATGCTGCTCCATAAAAATGAGGGAATAACTTATAAGCACTGTCTGCCTCTCTAGAGATACGCCTAGAATAAGCCCCGCCGCTCAAGTAGTAAATAACTCCACAGCCGCCTGAACTTTATGTTCAAATTGGAGTCTCGAAGCTCCACACAGTTCCAGCATCCGGTTCATTAAAAGGAACACGGTAGGGCTGGGTTCAAAATCCCTACGGACTGCCCTAGAACCCAAATAGGCTCCGCGCCTCGGCATCGAGGACCCTCGGCTGTGACTCACTACGGGGTGAAGGGGTGAAGGGTTCAGTATACCTGAACACGGTCGAAAAGGGTAAAAAAAAATGACGAAATATTATTTGTTCACATCAAACTTGTCACAGAGTCCTGCCTTGTTATAAGTTTAGAGACGCGAACACGATGACTGGAAGGCCGAGCGGCTGTGATGACGTAAAGAGGCGTCCGGAAGGACGTTAACAGGTAGTTCCAACCACCATTTTCAGCACGCTGAGAAGTCTTATCCAACCATGGCGTCCAATAACGTCATCAAAAGCGCTCCGCCCTCCAGTCGTCATGTTCACTGCGTTTGAACAAGGGGTTCATGCGCGAAGCGATCACACACCCGAACGGGTACCCCCAGGAGGCCCGTCGCGCGGCAAGAAGGCAGAGTCGGCGGACGAGTTGCAGCGCGTGGTGTGCGATGTAGGACGTGCAGTGGGACACTCTATTTAACTTGACGCGAAATCCCTATAGTGCGCGCGACTCGTCCGCTGACTTTGCCTTCTTGCCGTACCCACCCGAACGGACACACCAAGACCTGCCCTCGACAGCTCCGCCCACAGGAAAGAAATAAATTAGTAAAATAGCTTGTTCAGAAAAAAAAACGCACTCCAGCACACGCATAAATGACCTACACAAACATGCATCGGGCCGCTCCCCAGACATGTCTGCCCACTCCTCTGGTCAACTCCTCTCTAGCGAACAGAATATTTTAGTATGATGGGTCAAAAAGAAAAGAGTTACCCAGCAATGCTCAAAAATGATTACAAATCCAAATTAATCAGCCGCAACTGCTTAACACGTTGAGGACCGCGCTCGTTTTCGCTGTCTGCGCGCGTTATTTTGACCGCGCGAATGCGACATGACGTCATGTCACACGGTCCACAAAGCATCCATTTTTTGGGGAAACCTGTTTATTTGTTAGCCTTTCTGTGTGGTGATCTCGGATCGCCGCATGTTTGGCCGATTTCAGCGATTCCCGTGATTCAGCGAATCGTGGCGATGAAGCGAGACCCTCCAGACACTCCCTGGTCTCTGTATCGTCCAGCTTATCCATAGAATGAAGTTGGATCGCAATCATTTACATGTTCGCGAAACCACCACGGGCCTCCGACGCCTTTCACAAAAGGAGGAACGAGCATAAGAAAACGTACTAGATACGCAGGCGGGCTGCACTAATGCAGGGACGCGCAAGGGCGCGCGCATATGTCCATTGCTACCAAAACTGTCCTCATCCCATTGTAGCAAATTATTATTGCAAATATTTTTTGTACCGATTAATTTTAGCCTAAACACAAAAAGTGCGACTCACACTGATCTCATTAAGTCGGTGCTAACTTAGTTGGGGGGGGGGCCACGCGGCGGCGCGGCAGTCTGCTCGCCTGGCATGTTCGGAAATCCGTGGGCCAGGGGGAGTGTAGGCAGTCTAGGGGGTGGGGGTGGGGCAGTCACTTGACATGCGTGAAAAGCTGGAATGTTCGAGTTTACACTGTCTCGCTCGAGAGAGCCCAGGTGAGCAGACTGCCGCGCCGCCGCGTGCCCCCCCCAACTAAGTTAGCACCCGTAAACCTTTTTTTTAATGAACTCACTAGGCCAAATAACCGAGGCTTATTCCAGAGACCACGTCCTTCTGAAATAATGCTAAGCACTGGCGTACACAACATAAGTACGTTACCTAAAATGTTCGAAAACCGTTGATGACCGCGCTAATTTTCGCTGTCTGGCGTGTGGGACCGCGCGCATTATTTTGACCGGCGCGAATGTGACATGACATCATGTCACACGGTCCCACGCGGCCGAAAGAGTGTGGTATGACATCATACCACACGGTCGTCAACGTGTTAAAAAGTCCTGGCCAGAATAGTCCAAAGTGAGCACGACGAAATCGGCTCAAATAGTAGCTCTGATCAAATTTTACGCGCTCAGGATCGCCGTCAACCAGTCCAGGCTATCGTAAATGGTGGTGATAGTGACCAGAACAACTCCACCGTTGATAAAAACAATGTATGAAATGAATATTTCTCTGAGAAACATTGTCACCGGAAAATTCCCACAAAGTCTAAAGCAGAAGTAAGCTGAGTGCTCGGTTCAACGTATCGATTTTTTCTCTGTCTGCTTCACAAACAAAACGAGAATTTCTAAATTGAATCCCCTGAACAGACCAGCATAAAAAATAATCTGTATCTGCACGTATGAAACATCACGATAAAAAATCATGTACATACAAAATTACAATTATATCTCTGTTTTGTCAGACGGTGAGGAGGCGCCCGCGGCATTTCACTGCCGCGCGACGCAATTCGTGAGATGAATGGATGATGGTGCAACGAAATGGTGTAGATGGTGAATGGCATTTAAAGAATGGTGAAACGGGATGGTGGTGGAATGGCGGATAGCAACGACACTGCACCGATCTGGCCAGAAACACACGAGAGACGAGTCGATATGTGACGGAGCAATGCAAACAACCGAGTCATTGAAATGAGTAGTCAATGCGTTTCTCACAGAGCGCTCTACAGTTCAACTAGAAACGAAACCGGATTAAACAAACGAACAAACGAACGAATGAACGAACGAACGAACGAAAAGACGAACGGAGGAGAGAGAGGAGAGAAAGAGGAAAAGTCCTGTGGCTGTGTCATTCAGAAACAGAATGCTCAGCAAAGATCATCGATCACCACTATCGATCAATCTGTCGCAGCAATATCGATCGGTGTGGTTATGTAGCAGATCAGCTGATAATCAGAGGCCAGCGGCTGCATATGACACACACAAAACAATCCGCGGACAACTTTTGACGAGCGCGCGACAACGGCGGCGTCTTTTATTGTACAGCAGCCTTGGCAGCCTCCTCTTGCATACGAGTGTGATGTAGTTCAGCCTCTTGCCAAATCAACTCTTTCAGCTTCTCCTTTGGCAGATCGTCCAGCTCCATCTCGTACGTGAACGGCTCTTCGCATACCGGCTAAAACAGAGTTACCTATAGTTCTCATCGAAAGCACGTCTAACTTGCAACGTCATTCGTTTTCAAAGGGCTGCCGCGACATGCACGGGCATAAAAAGCGAGCTCATGATTCGGAACTGATCGATAGTGCAATAAAAGCAAAGCAAAAATCACCTCGTCATTCGGGTCGTAGTATTGTTCAAGATACGGATGAGCCAACGCTTGTTCGATGTTTATTCTGAAATATGGTATGATTTACAAGAAGCAAAAAAACCGCACTTCAGCTTCAAAGAAGGAGAAAGAAGTTCGGCACTTCGTCTATATGTGACTGTTGCGCGAGCGGTCGCGGTACGGCCTTTCTATAAACCACCCAATTGCTCGCCAGTTCACTAGTGCTTTCTCGCGAGCGACAAGCGACAAGCTTCTGTGGTGAAGGCACCGACCTAAAAACCTACACGCTTGGCTACATTCAATTTTATATTTTGTAAAGTAATATATTCGAAGCTCTCTATTTCCTACTGCACTTCTAGCGTTACTATGGAAATGAGACCCAGCTAAAAGAAGAACAGACAGCTCGCTGAGCCTTTGCTATCATTAGTCACACCTTTCGGTGCATAGCTTGAGGCCCTTTATGTAATTGTGATAATCTTTCAAATGCCCAAAAAACTCTTTCAGTTGCTGCTTGAAAAAAGTCTTCTTGAGAAGCACGGACAAAAGGATACGACTTCTAGAGGTTGATGACTCACAAGATCTAAAGACCATACCCTGGAGAAAATGATTCACTGACAAGTGAGTCACCACCGAACTTATGTGAAGGACTGGCTTCTCTATGCAGGAAGGGCAGGGATTCAGTAAGGAATCATTGTACATAGCGCTATTACATGAGAGTGATTCAGCACCTTTCTAAAGTCGCATCAGTACACGGTTAACTAATGGACTGCTTGAAGGCATATACAGTGCGTTTCATTGGTATACGTCCACCCCTGATTTTACCGAAAACGTTTCTTGAAGGACTGGCCCAATTTAGCAGCATACATTATCGGATTCGTTGTCCAGGAAAACTACGAAACACATGTTTTCAGACAGGCAAGTCTATGGCGAAATTTTTTAGAAGCATTTTTTCGTTTTTTGACCGTTTCATAGTATACGTCCACTTTGAATTTCTGTTTATTTATGCAAAGTCAGAAAGTGCTCAATGAAAATAAGTTGTCAATTGGTGCTCTCTGTTCGAATGGCAGCTCTATGAGTCAATGTGACATACTCACTGTTGAACTGCCGAGGATTGAAGGGCCGATGCTGCAGCACCCGTCCATGATCGCCTTTTCATTGTGTAGAAGTTGGAAAACCGCCTTTTGTTGTCGTGAACCTGTTGCACAATTACACCCCAAAGTTTTCTGTGGAGTTCAGATCAGCACTGCGTGCAGGCCGCTCCATAACGACCACTTTCTGTCGTTAGAACCACGCAGACGTTGACCTGTAAGCATGGACACTTGCACTGTCCTGCTAGAAAACTAGCTTTTATCGCCGCCTGCAGTTCAGGAACAGCGATAAGTTTGATCCCAAAGCTCTTATCAGTCCATTCGGTAAAAAACAAATGCGAGCTCCAGCTTCCTGTCCCACAGAAAACCCCTCAAACTATCAGAGAACCGATACCAAACCTGCGCTTGCTGATCTGCACCCCCAGTTACATCTGACATTACCGTGTGCGCCCGGGTTATGATTCTTTTCGTCGGAGAAGACCATTCAAAGAATTTGAAAGACTCTACAGTGCAGAAACTGCGCCCAGTTTTACAGCTGCACCTGGTTCCAATCCGTTGCCGCGTCCTTTCGAGTAAAACCAAGACGAGCCAACTCGAGTGCTCCGGTTAGATGTGGGTCTTGCTCATAAATTCTCTCACAATGTCACCGCTCCATTTGATAGCCCTCACTACGGTGGATTTCGAGACAAACACCTACAAATCTGCACGGATTTGGTTGATGCTGCATGTGTTGCTGGAAACTTTCCTCCAAATTTCTCGTTAATCTCTGACGGATAGCTTGCGTTGGCGTCTAGGAGTTTCGCCGTCGAGGTAGCCTTCAGAATCTCTGAGATGAAAGCAAAGCAAGCAGTGAATCCTGTCGATTTGTCTGGTGGTTTGCCGATGCCTGAGTCCGCCATCATGGAGAGCCCGAAATCGAGTCTTTTCCTCTACAGAAAGACGGAGACCACGGGCATCGCGAGAAGACTAGTCGGTTCTACATCTGGTACAAACACGCACTTCGGTTGGATCAGGAAAATTTATTTCGAGAAATATACTAAGAGTGGACGTATATTATGAAACGGTCGAAAATCGAAGAAGTACTTCTAAAAAATTTCCCCGTAATCTTACTTCTTTGAGAACGTGCTTTTCGTAGTTTTCTAACACAGTGAATCCGATAATGTATGCTGCTAAATTGGGCAAAGTCTTCAAGAAACGTTTTTGGTAAAATCAGGGGTGGACGTATACCAATGAAACGCACTGTATTCCGCTATACACTTAAAATAATTCCACGACAAGGTTGGAAGCCAGATATGTGGAAATATACCTAGCAGGAAGACAGACGGACCTACTGAAGGTGCAGGACAATGTGCGTTCAGCGAAGGCTGCCCGAGCGGCCTAATAGGGCCATACCTGTACTGCTGCCCACCCATTTCCCACCGTCTGATCTGGCCTTTTAGCAGAGAGAACGTTAACGTCGAAGAGGGCAGCACCGATAAGGTTGCATCAGTGCGGAAACCAACGGACGAGGATGATTCCCATTTTCCAGGTTCTGGGTCGTTTCTCATGCTTTTCTCTTCACAAAACTGACTTCTGAATTTTTTTTTTAATTGGCTGCCTTTACCTGCTGATTAAGGGTAACCAAAAATTAGATGAAGCGAAGCTAAACCTAGTGGCAAAAAAAGAGATCAAAAAGCGCACAGAAGCCTGTAAAACGGGGATCTCTGCCAGATGGACAACACTAGAAACTGCGTGATTGAGTTAGCTCCCATTCATTATCATATCTCCAAGTTTATTGATATCACATGTTATCTTTTATTGAAATCAGCTTTTCACAGGGGTAAATAATAATTTCGTATAGCAGTACATTATACGAAGTTAATCGCTGCAGGCTCCCCCACTTTCTTCACGATTTGGGGCGCGGCCGCGGCGAGCGCGGACGAGTCGATAGTGCCCGCGAACTGTGGTGGTGATGCGTTTTCAAATTTACCCACACAGTTCGCGGGCACTATCGACTCGGCCGGCGCTCGCCGCGGCCGCGCCCCAAATCGTGAAGAAAGTGGGGGAGCCGCTGGGAGAAGATCGTCCAAGAGCATGGCACTTGATTAAATCTTTGGCCCCTGTCACTCGCCAGTCTAACTTCGCGAATTATCACAGCCGTCACCGGAACGACCAAGCTGGCTCAGAGAAGAGATTGTCTTCCTCTGCTAACCTGGATGAGGCCTTTGAACGAAATCTACCGCATCAGCGAATCGCACTTTTTACTTACTAAGCTTTCTCACAACTCTACCTCAAGCAAATTACTATTTGACGAATTATGTCGTTGCATTCGAAACAAAAAAAACCAGCAGTAGGTAAGAGGGAAAGCCGCAGGCCAAAATAAAAAAAACTAAGTGAAGCACTAAATATGAATAGAAGAAACACTCACCTGTTGTGTGGATTGAAGGTTAACATCTTCTCGAGAAGATCCAATGCCCGAGGATCCGCTCCCGGGTAAAGGCGGGACCAGGGTTGTTTGGGTTTGTGTGGTAAGGAGATCAAATAAGAGCGAGCCTTAAAGAATACGGTCTAGTTCAAAGCAAAATATTATCATCAATAATGCAACAACATGCGAACCTTGTCATTAATAATACACTGCAAATCTTCTTGTGAAGGTGATCCCACAACAGCAAGGATAAGGTTCAGTTGATCGAGGTAGTGTTTGCCCGGGAATAGAGGGCGATTACTCAACATCTCAGCCAGGATGCAGCCCACCTAAATTCTCGTTTGAATCAAGAACAAAGCGATTACAATGGAAAAGAAAATACTGAAAGGGAAAGCAGAACAAAGGCGTTAATATAATTCGTCTCCACTCACCGACCAAACGTCGATGGATTTTGTGTAGCCCTTTGAGTTGAGCATGATTTCTGGCGCACGATACCATCTTAAACGGGTCAATAATTTAATAATCACACAACCAAAATCAAGGTAGTCGTACTCCTATCTAAGCGGTTCTGTAAGGCAAGCAGTTGTGTGCATAAAATTTGAAATCTGGCTAATCTAGTAAAGAAGATTTGAGCTTTTTGCGCAGTTTAGGCGGGCAAGTTGCATTTATTTCCAACCATTTTAGGCTCCGACGAAGACGACGAATACGAAAGGTGATAAAAGTGCGTCTAATAAAGGTCTAATCTTGAAAGGCGTTAAGATTATCCTTACTGAGACCAATCATTCCTTTGAAATCGAATAGCATTCGAAACGGGTGCCACTTTTTGACAGAGCGATCGCATTGGAATAATGGCTCATTTAAAGTCCCGTTGAACAGCAACGACACGATCACGCAAGGCTCCTTTTGAAACTTCAAGGCCATTCCCCATTCTCGTACCCATAGTTTCGCATCGAATTCTTCTCTTGTACGAAATTCGCACGTTCATTTCAAACTCGTACAATGCTGGTACAAACATTCAGTTTTTGCACACTAATAGCCATTCTATGTACGGAAATGGTTCTTGAACAATAGCAAGCTTACCGCGTGGCAACATATTCGGTTAAAAATCCAGTGTGGTCTGTTTGAGGATCAGTGACTCGAGCCAGACCGAAGTCGCATATCTAAAACGAAGTATAACAGATATTTCATTGAAACCTACTTCTACTCAACACCATGCAAACAAAAACCTTGAGATCACAGGTCGTATTGAGCAACAAGTTTGAAGGTTTAAGATCCCGATGAAGGACATTTGCCGAGTGAATGTATTTTAGTCCGCGGAGAATCTGAATACTGCGCCTTAGGATAGAAAACCGATTTACATGAAAGACAGAAATTGTGAAGGAATCCTCAGAGCAACGAAGAAAAAGAAACTAAAAGGTAAACAGCCCGATTACCTGGTACAAGAAATAGCAAACATGGTCGTTCGATAGCTTTTGCGTTTTGAGCAGCTTGTATAGATCTGTTTCCATTAAACATTGCACAATGTAACTGAAAAATACATATGCTTGCTCAACAGAAATAATAACTAAAAATGATTACTAATACGAATAAAAGAATTCGCATCAGAACAAACTGATCGAACTGGAAGTATCCAAGCCACGGAACAAGGGGTGTGGTTCACTCACTAGGACAGAAAGCGAATTTTTCGCGTTTCGCAGCGCGAAACATTTTTCGCTGCGGGAACCTCAGGTCCACCGCTGATCATCAGTGGACCCGAGGTTCCCGCAGCGAAAAATCAGTGGACCCGAGGTTCCCGCAACGAAAAATGTTTCGCGCTGCGAAACGCGAAAAAGTCGCTTTCTGACTTAGTGAACCACACCCCTCAACAAGAGAGCCGTAAATTGAAACAGAAGTTAGGTCAAGAAAACTCTAAAAAATTTAAGCCGACATTCCACATGGAAAATGGCCCCTTTCCATCGAGTTACTAGATTTGTAATACTTTCATAAGAGCGGATGACCTCTCTATATTTCCCATTTAAGCTTAACTAGAGAAGACTTACATGTCCTTCATTTGTTCCACGGAAACGGATCGGATTATTTCTTGGATATTAATAATCTGAATAAAAAAATACAATTGAAAGGTATTATGAACGGAAAGATAATAATTGAACTTACATTTTCATGCTTGAACCTCGTCAGAATCTTTATTTCACGCAACGTTCTTTGACAGAATGTTTGATGCTCAAAGGGGGAGATTTTCTTGATTGCGACTCGCTCTCGTGTTACTGTATCCAAGGCGGAACTGAAAAGGCCATATTTGAATGAAATCTTAGACCCTGAGGAGTACCAGTGGAAAATCGTTAACTTGTTTTCAAATGCACTTGACACAGTTTCTGTGAATGGGAATCCTCAATCTCGTTAGGTAACAAGTTTGTCAAACATTATAATTCAACCGATGTTAGACATAACTTTTCTGTGTACGTATGGAGAAAATAAACAATAAAACAAGTAAGAATTCAAACCTATTTAACACTAGTAAAACGAAGAATTTCTAGACCAAGGTTTTGCTAAGGCAGCGTTCATAGCTCACAATATGAGCAATTGTGCGATTATATGCTGGAAGGAATACGTATTGATCGAAAAGATCGCCGACACAATGCGTCGACGAACGCCCATATTTCATTCGATGGAATTGCAGTGGCTTAGCTCCCTAATAGGGCCGGATCGGATTAATCACCCGCAATTATTAGATAATACGCATGTTTTTCTTTCAGACACAATGGCCAAATCGCTCAAGTCGCCAACTATAATATTAATGGGGTCCAATGGCTAGCTACTGATTGTGAACAGGCGCTTGGAAGAATTTTTAAAATCAAGATCGACCCTTGATCAAGGGTGTAGTTTTCTATGAAAATTCCAAAATAGGTTCGAAAGTAAAAAATGGAGCTAGATAAGCATACAATGAAAGAGCACAGCCAAAAGCACCGTTTTAATCCTTGAAAAGGAAAAACTTCAATAAGATGCCCAAACTGATAACTGGAATAGCGTTTTTGGTTTTTGCTTCTTCAATTATTTGCGGTCCGAGCTCATTTTTCAGGAGTGTTATGCTGTTGTGTGTGACTACATTCGCTTAGTTGTTACACATACTTAGGCCACATGCAGTAAATATCATAGTAAACACAAGAATAGAAATGAATAAATGACAAATTGTTCGAAAATTTCAAGGAAAAGCAACTCACGCGACCATGCCATAGGCTCCTTCGCCTATATACGAAAGATTCACATAACGAGGTCCTACTTCGAATTAGTGGCCATGAATTTCTTCAACGTTATTGCGAGTCGATGCCGATTCCTCCTCTGTCATCTGGAATGTAGCAGGTTGAATGACCGGACACTGCTGATAACCCGATGCCGCGCCTCGAAACGATATAGGCTTAAGATCACAAACGAACACGAGAAGAACGGAAAGTACAGGTGAACACGACGAGAAATCAATGAAGAGATTCTGCACCAAAATTACCTCACTCACAATTAATTTCAAAACGCCAGAATCTGTCTGTGGTTTCACAAACCTCACACAGAAATGGAGAAGACAAGTCCTGGGTTTCTCAAAGAAGCGATATTTACCGGGGAGGATTGAAACAGCAAGATGACGAGTTGACGAAAGCGAGGATGGAGAGCGCTGACTGAAAACCACGTTGAAGCCAAGCGCTCACCTCAACAGCACGCAGAGACAGACCTAATGTCCGAAACAACGTCTCCCGCACTCACAAGATCCACGCTTCCCAAGAATTGCTGACCGCTGGGTGAAATAGTACTTAAGGCGAGCCTTGTACAGATGGCAAATGCGCGTGATTCTTTGAATACTTGGTTAACGTTCCCGGTGAAACGTTAAACCAACCACTCAAAAGCTTACGGCGATCCTCTCAATGAACCCAAGTGCTTATGATTTATACCTTTTCACCACTAGATGCTAGAATACACCTTAACAACTGAAGGTTCGATCCACGTGAGCGAGGGGGGGCGGGTGGCATTAGAGGCAAATTGCGGCTTTACTCATTCGAAAAAGGGGTCTCATCCAGGGCCCTATCCTATCCTCCTCCCCCAGCCCTAGGGGAGGGGAGATCCTTTTGGGGTTTCCAACGGTATCAGTTGTCCTACTTTTTAGCACATAGTTGCTTTTACAACACAATCTAAACTAGGCTATCCTTAGGACATGTTTGATGTGCGGAAAATAAAATGGTTTGAAGGATTTTTCCCCAAGCCTGCCGAGAAGGATTGGATGGGGCCCCATGGGGGAGGGAGAGGGGTGGGGGATGGGGTCGCAGTATTAGAACTTAACATTTGGAAGAGTAGATGAGATTCTCGGGTTGCGATGGACCAAGTCGCTTCAGAGTTTCACCCACCCAGAGCTTCGTTACCGTGCGAAATACTACTAAAGGCAATTCAGGCAGTCTCACTACATGCCCTTTACTCGACGAGACCCCAATGAAGCAGAGTTTTTTTTTTTGCTTTCTTGGGAGCGAAATACGTAATTCCCAGCATGCAATTATTAGGAATAATCGATTTTCTTCCTGCATGTGAAAATTCAAAGCCACATTTGCAAAAGAATCCAGGGAAACGTTGCTGCAAAAGAACCCATTATAACAATAGCTTGAAGGTATGCTTTGAAACGTTTCTGCAAATCATATAAAAGAAGCCTACGAGTTTGGAACGTGCTCAATGGTGTTCTATGAAAATCTCAAAAGAATTCATACAAATACAGCTGCCTAATAAAAGGAATACAACGAATAGAAAATCATACAATCAAGCATTATTAGGAAAGAACGCAGCAATAAGCCCTACATGAAAGGACTAAAAAGATCGTGCTATCGTTGAGACTAAAGGCTAAGACTGACGCGTAGGAAACGGCCCGGACACCCCCGAACACGGCCAAATCGATACGATCAAGGTTCTGTTTGCACAAAAAACGTGAAGCACGGCTTGGTTGCTGCAAATGTGAAAGAATTGCAAATTTTTCGCAGCACAAAAAATAGAAACAATTGAAACGTTCGACAATTCTAGTTCAAGCTAATACTAGCGCGAATGAGACAAACTTTGCAAAATATTAAAAAAAAAACTATAAAAAGTTAGCCAAACTCTTTACCGTAACAAATTGTGGCGTATTAAAATAGTTACTTGGTACGTACCTGTAGACATCACAACTATATTTCGTCAACAGCAGAGACTATAGCATGAAAACGAAAGCGGAGCACCCGGACTTCCAATATTCAAGTAGGCGTGAAGTAAACTACATTGTGTGTAATCTGCATGTCGGACAAAATGACGACGCAACACGCCTCGAGGGATGTCAGTCTGCCACATTACGTACGTCAAGATTACGGTAAGCCCCAGCTTATTCTTAATGGCTAAGCTTAAGCTCAAGCCAAAGAGGGCGACCTCGAGGTTTGGCGAGTCATTTCCCGTTCCCTTCCTAGGCTCCTTTCTGCTTGATATGTGCGAGTAGTATAGCCTTGACGGAGCATGGCAGACTGCCCCTCTTCCTCTTAAAGCTTGTTGCAGTAGGAAAAACACCAGTAAGGCGCAATGTGGCTCGGGGGGGGGGCAGTCGCCGCGCGCGGCGCGTGCGGCAACAGGAAATTCGTGAGCCAGGGGGAATGTAGCCAATTCAGGGGGTGGGGGTGAGGGCAGTGACATGCGTGAGAAGCTGGAATGTTCGAGTTACACTACTTCGCTAAGCCGCGGCGGACTGCCCCCCGAGCTCACATTGCGCCCACCAGTAACTTACATAGCCAAATCCTAGGTGCGTAGTTGCATAAAAAACTACTGCAGAAGTTATTCTCACCCCAGACAATGGATCAGTCGTGAAGTGAAGAGGTTTGTCCGTGACCACACCAAGAACATATGCTTTGGACCTCACCCAGAAAAGGCAGGGGGAGCGTGTGATGCCACAGCGACAGATGTTGTCACCTACAAAAAATTTCCATTTTTGACGGAGAGGAGGGGTGCTAACTTAGTTGGGGGGGGGGCCACGCGGCGGCGCGGCAGTCTGCTCACCTGGGCTCTCTCGAGCGAGACAGTGTAAACTCGAACATTCCAGCTTTTCACGCATGTCAAGTGACTGCCCCCACCCCCCACCCCTAGACTGCCTACACTCCCCCTGGCCCACGGATTTTCCGAACATGCCAGGCGAGCAGCCTGC